AAAGTATAAGGAAAATATTTGGGAGGAGAATTGTCTTCTGGGTAAAATTTTTTCCTGCTTAATGATGTACCTTAAAACTTATATAGTCATTTCTTTTCATCCATAATATGTTTTATTTCAACTCACCACACTCTAAAGGGTGTGTAATGGATTTTATAGAAATGTCGAGACAGCTAATACTTTACATGTTCTCTTTTGTATAAAAAATCAATATTATGTAATATAACCCCTCTAGAATGCTTACACAGAGAAAACTCTATGTTTAAGTCACTACTTTATGTATAGATAAATGACTGGGGTTCTCTGCCAGACAGTAACCAGCTAACTTCTTTTGCCATTTGTATTTCTCAAGTGCAAACTGCAAAAATAGATTAACTGTCACTACTCCCATTTAAAAATTATACTTACAGCTGAGATAAGCTTTGGGCAACATTTGTAAGACATTTGTTTTTCTTGGTGCAGTGAATGCATTCTAAATTTTTAAATAAAATAAGCCTGTTACTTTCGAAGTTTATTGATCAAGCTTATTCTCCTTTAAAGCTTGTAAGTTCTTAATGGCATTTAAAAATATTTAATGGTTAAACAGTACTAATACTTGAAGCAACCACAACACTGAATATTTTCTACTTCAACTTGTCTTTTCATATCCACTTAATCAACATAACAACTCGGGTGGGCAGAGCCACAGGGAGGTATTTGTATCTCTGATTTAAAGGTGACAAAATTGTGTTTCTGAATAAAAGTCCAATACCTGATTTTGTGCTGAGGTCCAGCACCATAGTTTGTGCTCTCTGTGTTTTTGTGGGTGGCCAGAATAAAGTCCTTACTTAAGTAGCCAGGAAAGCACTATTGTTTAAGTGGAGAAGTGAGGGGGGGGGTGTATTGAAGAACAGAGAGGTCTCAACACAAACATGCACAGCAGCCCTTCCTCCCACAGTAGACACAGGTGATATAGCCCACCACTTTGTGAAAGAGGCCAGACTCAAGTCATTCATGGGAAAATTGCACTGGCGCATCTAGGAAAGGGATCAAGGGGTGCCCCTTGTTTAACCTCAATTCCTTTCTGAGTTGAGGTTCAACTCTGTGACACATTCAGGTAATCTCAAGTAAAAATGAAGAGGAAAACTGGTTGCACATATGACCTAGGGGTCAAGATAATCAGATGAGAAGGAGGAACTATCACTGGCTTTATTTTGGCAACTCTGCCCCCCAGTCACTCCACAGTTAACCCAGATTATTCTCTTCCTGCATTCTTTCTAAAGAAACAAAATATCACAGCTAGTGGAGAGGATTCCTCCCATATTATTCTCATTGCTATTTCTTGAATTGACTGGTATTCTTAAGTTGTATATTTTCCACTTATATATCTTTCAGGATATAAAATATGACTTAAATTGTTTTGTATTCATCTTAAAAGTTACACAGAAGTGGGCTGGGAAGGTGGCTCAGTGGTAGAGTGCTTGCCTTGCATGCATGAGGCCCAGGGTTCTATTCCTCAGCACCACATAAGCAGAAAAAGCCAGAAGTGGTGCCGTGGCTCAAGTGGTAGAGCACTTGCCTTGAGCTGAAGAGCTGAGGGACAGCTCCCAGGCCCAGAGTTCAGGCCCTACGACCAAAACAAACAAACAAATAAATAAAAGTTACACAGAAGGGACATCATACATTTAAGCTGCTGAAGTTCAACAGCTTAAGTATACTGTTTCTGGGATGCAGGATGCAGTCTGATTGATACAGGAAAGTCTGGGTTTTATTTATTTGTGTGTGTGTGTGTGTGTGTGTGTGTGTGTGTGTGTGTGTGTGTGTGTCTGTGTCTGGGTGTTTCAGTACTGTGGATTGAACTCAGGTAGGGTCTTAATTTATGCCCAGGTCAGTCTGGGCTGTAATCTTCCTGCTTGTGCTACCTTTTGTTACTGGAGGTGATAGTCACATGTCACGCTACCCAGCTATTAGGTGATGGAGTCTTGTGAACTTTCATGCGTAGGCTGTCCTTGAATCATGATTCCTTATTTATGCCTCCCAAGCATCTAGGATTACAGGCTCTGGCATTGCACCCAGTGTCTACCTTTTATTTTTTCTACAATAATATTAAAATTTGTATTCTTACATTGACACCATTTGTATCCTTTTTAGTCTGAAAAAATAATATGGAGGTTTACGCTTGCTACAATCCAAAGCTATACTAGGGTATGCTTTTATGTCTAGTATGTTCTCAGAACATATAGACCTTCAATGTTTTAAAGTATTAATAAATTACTTTTCTTTCAACAGCAGAGTTTGAGAGCCTGTTTCTTCCTGTTGTCTTAGTTAACTATTATCATTCTCTTTGATTTTTGCCAGTTTAATTGGGTTCAATTTCATCTGTATTTTAATTTGGGTTTTTCTAATTATTAGCTAACTTTCTATATCTTCATTGGTTATGTAATTTTTCTGTTTGGTGAAATTATTGATCCCATGCTTTGTCAGTCATTTTCAATTGGGTATTATTTTTCCTTGTCAGTTACTAGATTTGTTTTGTAAATATTGGGCATTAGTCTTATATTCTAGCCTGCAAACATTTCCCTCTTTGTATTTTTTTCTGATTTTGATATTAAAGTATTGTTTTTATTTTATATTAGTGTATATATATTCCCTAGGCCATGACAAACTCCTGTCTTCTCATGAGTGCATATTGTTGAATGATTGGTTTCTTTAATGTCATACTTTGAGTTAGCTTTCTGTACATTTTTTTTCTGGAGTTACTTTCACAGTTCATATTTTCTATTTCTTGTCTATAATTCCACATTGCCTTGTGTATTCGATGACTCTTGCTGTTGCAACAAATAGCCACCAACTGAGTGTCTGAAAACACATATTCATAGTTGGGCAGGCCAGACTTCTCCGAGGGTAGCAGAGCCCTGTTCAGGCCCTCAGAGCTGGCTCATATAACTTGTGGCTCTGCCCCCTTCTGCCTTCCACTTTCAAGGACTCCTGGGATCACAATGTACTGACCCGTTATTCTTTCCTTCTCCTCTGCTTGAACTCGTGCGATCAGGAAGGAGTACCTCTGCTTGGGAGCCTTTAGGCTTCTGATCATGATTAGCACGCCTTGCTCACATCCTCTTACACGTTAGATCAGTTCATTTTGTTGGGGTGGTCATTTTACCTGGAAGAATGTTTGTGTCTTCTTTATCATTTTCTTTTGCTTTATCTGATACATGGCTGTTAACTGCTATTTTCACTTATTGGCTACACGGGGGAGTGGGATTATACAAAGACGCTCAGCTCCAGGGCTGTTAGTTGAGTTTACAGCTCTTTCCAAGCCCGCATGCACAACCCCCTGGGTAGTCCTCACTGGCCTTGTGCTCTGGGTAGCTGGAAGTAACCAGTGTGGCTGGATGCTTCCTAAGTTAGTGTTAAAGGTGCAAGTTCAACCCGAGCATGTTCATTCTGCACCCGGCTCAGCCCCTGGACGTGAAGCTTCAGTCAGCGCTCCCCATCGCTCCTGTCTAATCTCTAAACCTGGGCATGCGCACCACAGCCTCAGCCGGGCGTGAGCTACCGCCTGGTATGGCTTGGGTAACCCCACTTCTCCCCTCTCGGCCACGCCCACTCTTGCCCCGCCCCTCCCCCTCGATTCTCACCCCGCCCTCCCGGGGGATTCCGGGCTCCGGGTCCCCAGGGGCACTGAACCAGCTCAGCGGAACTCCTGGGGCTCCGAGCCTCCGCCCTGGCTCCCGGGCCACTCCCAGCTCCGGGGGAAAGCTGTTACAAAAGGCATGAATGAAACGTGTGTGTGTGTGTGGGGGGGGGTTGTGTGTGGTGAACCACCGTGGGGGGGGGG